TACTTTAATTTTACTTTAAATTAAAATTATAAATATTGTTAATAACTAGATATTTACTTTAATTTTACTTTAAATTAAAATTATAAATATTGTTATTAAAAAATACTATTAATAAATTTAGTATTACAGTAATTTAATAAATATATAATTAGTGATTATTATTAATAATTATTGTTACTATAAATATTGTTAAAATAGATATTTACTTTAAATTAAAATTATAAATACTATTAATAAGTTTATTAATTATTGTTATATTAAAATAATTCAAAATGTTATTAAAAGTATTGTTATTGATTATTTAATAAATATTATAATTACTGACTATTGTTAATTTAATTTAATTTTGGTAATTATTAATTTAATGAATATTGTTAATAAATCCTATTCATAAATTTAATAATTATTGTTATATTAAAAATAACTAAATAATATTATTAAAACTATCATTAATGATTATTTAATTAAATAGTATAATTACTTACTATTATTGATAAATGTTGTTAATAGCGTTCTGACAACCGATGGTTCGACCGTCCGGTTTAAACGAATGGCCCGTTCTGACAACAAAAATTACAAGCAAAAAATTATAGAACCATTATGGCCACCGGTTTTCGAGTCAATGGTTCAATCATCCGATTCAAACAGACAGTCCATTTTGACAACAAAAATTATAGGCAAAAAATTGAGTTTGTGAGGTCAATTAAGTAGTATCATAAGTGTTATGTCATTTGAGGGTGTGACTCATACGACCCAAAAATGGAACCGTTCTGGCCACCGGTTTTTGGATCAATGATTCGACCATTTAGTTCAAACGGACGACCCGTTCTAACAACAAAAAATTACAAGCAAAAAATTACGAAACCGTTTTGACCACCAGTTTTTAGGTCGATGGCTCAATCGTCCGGTTTGAATGGATGATCCATTCTAACAACAAAAATTACAGGCAAAAAATTGAGTGTGTGAGGTCCATTGAGTAGTATCATACATGTTGTGTCATTCGAGCATGTAACTCATACAACCCAAAAATGGAACCGTTCTGGCCACTGGTTTTTGGGTCGATGATTCGACCATCCGGTTCAAACGGATGACCCGTTTTGACAACAAAAATTAAAAAAATAAAAAAAAAGCAGCCAAAAACCATTGAACGGGTCAACAGGTTGATGGTTTGACCACTCAGGTCAATGGGTCGTTGACCGATTTAATGGTTTTTGGCTAGGGACTGGGAATGGGGTAAAACGGAACCAGTTGCCTGAACAATTCTCAATAAAAAAAAACAGCCCATTCTAACAACAAAAATTACGGGCAAAAAATTGAATTGTGAGGTCCATTAAGCAGTACCATACGTGTTATGTCTTTCGAGCATACGACCTGAAAACGGAACCGTTTTGGCCACCAATTTTCGGGTCAATAGTTCGACTGTTCAGTTCTAACGGATGGCCCGTTTTAACAATACAAATAAAAAAAATAAAAAAAATGACTAAAAACCATTGAACGGATTGACCCGTTGACCCGTTCAATGGATCGTTGACCGATTTAATGATTTTTTGCTAGGAACCAAGATTAGGATAAAACGGAACTGATTGCCTGTATGATTCCCGATTAAAAAAAATAAAAGAATGATAAAAAACCATTAAACGAATCAACTGATTGATGGTTCGACTGCTCAGATCAATGGGTCAACGGTTCCATTCCAGCTCCACTAATTCTATATGATTAGAATTGTAATTCGCAGGTTAGTGGTGTGGGGGTGCGGATAACCAGGATGCAAACAGACCTACTAGTTTACACTATAAATCAAACTGATCCTTAGGTGGGGGTAACCACCTAGACTCTATGGTCCTTGGCAGAATAGGTAGTTCTAGGGCAGTAAAAACTTGTCATATGTGATCTATCATTGTATTGGTTCCACCCCAGAAGGTTAATTTGATACAAAGCAGCTCAGATTCTAACCAAACCAAGTTTTCACTGATGTCAGGAAATAAAAGAAAAAGGAAAACTTAGGAAGTCATTTATCATGCTCTATTTCCTTTTTTTATAGAGTTTTTACTGTTAAATCTACCCTCAGAAATCTTAGTTCCATCATACAGATGGGGTAATGCCAGCTCGGAATTGATGCCGTGCAGTCTAATTATCCCTTTTTTTATACCGTGCAGACGGCAGACCATCTAGGTGACCATGTCCGTTGGTGACACTTTCTCTCCTCGCTGAAACTCTAGATATTGAACATTTTTTTTTCAAATCTATTTTTTTTCCATTAGTCATTTGTTTGGATAATAGTTGATCTTCTTATTCACATTGCATGATAGCCATCTATTTCTCATGCACTTTGCTTTATTTACTACAGTTGGTTTTTGAGAAAAATACTAAAATTGGAAAGGTGGTGGAACAATCTTCAAGGGATTTCAATAAATGTCTTCAGGGCTCTCACAACTTTCTCCAATTAAACAATTTTACTAGAAACCAAACACAACTTGCGCCATGCCGTTTTCATGAAAAACTGTACCACATCAATTCCACACCTGAAATCCATTTTTCAGACCATGTCTGCTGTTTGGTTATATTTTTTTTGAAAGGTGTGGTATGGGTATTTTATTGTTTTTTTTACTATACTGATGTGGCATTGAAAAAACGTCTATGCGGCAGCAACCAGCGACAGCCCTAAACCCAAAAAAGAAAAAGAAAATGCACTGTGATTCACAATGAATGGGCAATTGCACCACCAAAGTTGCACAGACATGAACAATCAAACAAGCTTTCCAATCAGGACGGTATCATTTCAGTCCTTAAAACCTCTTCTTTCACTGAGAGTCTGAGACCATGGCTACCCAAATAGTTAGAAAGAGAAGCACATTGAAGACCAAATACCAACACAAGTCTAGTCTACAATATATGGAATTGATTTCATCAGAAAATTATAGTTTCCATCCAGTACAAGTGTGCTAGCATTCTATCAATAACAAGAATGATATCTGCCATATTTCTAAGAAAATCAAACTGTTCAGGTCCTTCATGGCATCTAAATTCTAAATTTCCAAGTGCCAATTGTTATCCCACTTATTGCTTTTGCATGCATATAAACTCATATCCGAAGCTTCCTCTCAGCTGAATCAAATATTTCTCTCAGATCCTTCTTCACAGTATCATCTGCAAACACAAATTCTATAGCATCCCTTGCCAGCTGAAACATTTCCCACTTGCCAATACCTTGTTATTAACAAAAAAATAAGAAATAAGTAATGGGAGATCAGTGTATGTAGGTTCCATTTATAGGCATTTGGATGATAACACTAACCAAATGAAGATGCTGCAATACTATATTCCTGGGAAAGACTGGTGGAAAACACCCCTGCATCGTCGGTGCACAAGACTAATGGATGCTTCATGTTGTAGAGATCAACTGTGCTGACAATAGCCCATTTTAGAGTAGAAATCATACATGGTTCTAGATGAGTAAAACAAGAATATGCAGAAACCATTGAGGATTTTATTTTACTAATTTGGGAAGAGCAAATGGCAAAATGATTTTCTTTTATTTTATTTTCCAATTTCTGGCATTTAATATTGAAATTTCCAGAATTTAGATAAAGTTGAAGAGCTAACCAAAATGATGATCATCAAGGGAAGCAATGGTCTGAGTCATGATGTTGGATGTCAAACAAATTTCGACCTGCATGATTTTGAAAATGATATAAACATGAAGATGGAGAAATAGTATCATGTCAGAACAGGAGAACAGAGAAGGGCTATCCTTGGGTTATCTCTATGCTTGGAAGCTCTGTCCTGGACAAAAATCTTCTTGGTCACTCAGAATAAGATAATAAGATATTTCGGACCTGGGTTAATCATTCAAGACACAACAAACAAACCCCCAGCCCCATTTCCCCAACACACACACACACACAAATGCAGGCGAGCATGCATAAGAGGTAGACAGGAATAATAGTTTATCCTGTCCTCCAGCCCTAAAAAGTAACACTGTAATAGAAAGAAATGAATGAAAAAAAAAGAATGAGGCATAAAAACAAACTGGAATCTTAGATGACTTCAACTTTTCCCAGTCTTCTTCTTCAAGGAAACAGGCGTGGCCAATCCTCTGGGGAACAAAGTCCAGCATTGCTTGGATTTCCTTCCTATTGGGGACCTATATGTGCTAAGATATAACAATAAAATAGTTAGTGTAATTCTGATCATACAGAAGATTATTCTTTTAAGGTAGAGTAGACGCTCAGAAGCCTGCCACACCTCTCCACAGTGAAGAGTAACAAGGAGACCTTGTTCCTTGGCAAATTTTAGTGCTGGCAAGAATGTCTCCCTGCCACAGAATACCCAAAACATGGGAAGTATAATTGTGAAATATATATAACCAATTACAATAGGTGTAAGTGTATAACTAATCTTCTCTACAATCTTCGTGGCTAAAAGGAAGTACCATTTACCCACAATGGGATTTCCAGAAAGATCAATACCGACTACCCCCAAATCCCTCATTTCTAGTGCCAGTTGAACCTGCAAGCATAAAGCAAAGGACAATATGTTGTTAACTCAGCTTCAGCCACCATATGCAATTTCCCTGAAACATGGCAATCTTTTCACCAATTTCACTTAGGCTGTGTTTGGTTTGAAAGAAAAAGTAGGGAAAGGTAGGAAACCTATACACTAAAGGAACTTTTCCAGTTACATAATGTTGTTTGACCGTAGCAAACTAACAAATTCTTATAATTACAATTACATTAGGAACTTAATTAAGCGTTAATCATGCCTATTTTTAACAGCTTTTTTAATATATATACCTTCCCTAATACAGCACTCGAATAGGAAAATTAACACCATTCAAAATTTCATGCAAAACTTTTCCAGGAAATCTCCCATTTTTGAAAGGTCAGRAATTTTGTTCTTGATATGGTAAAAACTTGATTTTAGCCTTACAAGAAAGAAGATTCCACATTACTTACAGTCTCCAATGCAGCTGCAGTCGTTTCACGACGATCAATGCTGAGAAGAAGACGAATGTATATCTTTTTCCTTGTTGTTTCACATGCACCGGTGACAGGTGTTATCGAATTCTCGGAGCTTGTTTGAGAAGGGATGAAAGCAACATCAACTGCATCGACAGTCCTTAAACCCCTTATCACCGCATCCATGTAAGAGCGTTTACTCATCCCTATAGATTCGTTCTTCTGTGTAAATCAAAACCAAAATGTTATATATAGCGACTCCATTGTCAACAAATGCTTGTTATCCCCAAAGAAACTAAGCGGGTGCAGAAAAAAAAAAAACAGGCTGAATCACTTCGAGTACCTTTGGTGTTGTTCTTAGCTCTAAATACACAATGTTCTCAGCAGCGAAGTCTTCAACAACCTGCTCAGAGAACAGATTCCTAACAAAATTGTGTAGGACTTGCATGGTAAAAAGAAGATAGGAGAATCGAAAAGGGAGATTACTTCTTTAGTTATCCTGGTTACAGTTGCATGATCGGTAGTGAGTACATGGATCAGATCAAACAACTTGAAACACTCTGGAAGAGAACGACAATCTGCATATAGATATCAATTAAGGAGAATGCATACACAGCTTCAGCAAGAAGAGGATTCTCCAGAGGAGAACTAATTATTCCGCCTCTTCATTTTATGAAGAAAAGGAACACATACTTTTCTTGATGACATGCTCCAACCCAGCGATGTCTAGGACGCCTTTTTCACCCAGAACTCTAGCAAGTTCACTGTGCAACATTTGAAGCTCAAACACATCATGACCCACCATTACAGGGCACTCAATATGACAAATTGAAGCTTTTTAAGGTCTAATTCTAGTATAAAAAAGCTCAAATCTTGTAATAAACAAGGAATCAAAATCCATTTCTCAAGACCCGTCCGGAAGAGTTTAGTCCGGGAGCAAAGGCAGCACCCCTCAAATCCAAAAACCGAGTAACAGTGATTTCCATTATAGCTTGGCAAGTAGAGATAATCAGATAACAGAGTCATAGAGAGATGATGGTGGCATATAAATAGTTTTCGATACAACATAACAAGAAAGAAGAACGAGAGTAGATAGACGCTTACAGCAATGTAGAATCTCTAATTGATCCGTTTAGGTGAGCGTGTAGTTCGATCTTCGGCTGTGACACCCACCACTCCATATCCATCTCTGTCTCTCTCTCTCCACACAGAATACAGAACGAAGACGACAGCCTCTGGTCGTTCTTCTTCTTCTTCTTCTTCAGGGCCTCTCTCTCCTACTCTTCAAAATCTAAAGAAGCGCTCGCCGGCTTGCGCAAATGAATAGCTCTGTATGGTATTATTGGTGAGAAGAGAAGATAAAAAAGAGACAATGATACAGTGCAACTGCATCAGCATTGAACCATACGAGGTGTCGATGATTTACGCTGGAAATTATTTTCAGTGGAGCCAGCCTAATACTGAGACCCATCTCGATCAGATCAAACGGTTGATACTTCTTGCGCAGATGATCCGGTTTGCGCAAGTGCTCCTGGCAGAATGAGTATGACGGCCTGCCGAGACTGGAAAATCGTGCTCATATCAAAAAGTTCACACTGCTTTTATTAGATAATTGTTTTTTTGTTTTCACCCGCTGCACCCTAGAAAAGAGAGAGAGAGAGAGCGCCGTGATGAGTGATGACGTTCACTAATGTTACAGAGAACATGATAATGTACAGTAGGCCCCATCACAGGAACGTAGCCCCTGTTTGTCCCGTCTTTACAAAACGATGTTCCTCTATCTCGGGTGGATGATTGAAGACAAAACGGTGGGCCACACCCTCATACTAGTGTGGTGTAACGAGACATCCCCGATTGATGGGGCCCACATCAGTTGCTGGTGCTCAATCCGTGGTGGTTGGTTGAAAATGGCCGGCCGTGATTTGCGTTTTAACGCCGATGTCTGCCAAATAGGTTTTTGGTAATTTGGTTACGGTCGGAGGCTCAGAAATGTTATGTGTCTCTGTGACAGTCCGTTACTTTGTCAGGTATGGATTCAGTACTCACATAACCGTCCTCACACCCTGCTCACAAACGATTGGCTGTGAGCACGGTGTGAAGACGATTCTGTGAGTACTAAATCCGAATTCTACTTTGTCAGCCCGGGGGCCCGCCACGATGGACTCCAAATCCGCTACGGAACCGGAGAACACTGGGCCAACCATGATAGGCCACGTCATCATGACAACATGAGTCTGTTGACTGTCGCGATTGATCGAAATCTAGGCATGTGGGTCCCCGGTCCCATATGTCAGGTTGGTTCAGCCTATTGTTATAGGCCAAGTGCCGTCTGGTTCAACCGTTGAAGTAGAAGTCATGGAACATTGACTCCTCGAATGCTCTATGAATCTTATGTGGAGGATAATGGCCCAACAACGATATGCTACACCAGCCTAGAATTTGGGCTTCCCAGCTGATAGAAACCACATTTGCTACGATTGAAGAAATGTTGTCACATAAGTGTTTCATCGGTAAAGACCTCATTATGCACATCTGTATGTATCGAAATTTACATCAATTTCTATGCATCCCTCCCATTTGAGAAAGTTTCATTTGAAGCTTTCTGAAATGATAAGCGTTTAGTGACACTTTATTGATGTAGTGCCTAATGGCGTTTAGTGACACTTTATCGAAATTTACTTTTTTTTTTTTTGTCAAAGTTCTAAAGTTGAAACACAGTTAGGTCATGTGACTCTTTTGATAAAGCCAAGTGGAAATGGGTAGGCTCGATATATGACTTGTATATTTGCCACATACGTACCCGGTACCCTTGGTTAAGCTAGTTTTTGTAATCAATGCTATTTTCTTGAAAAATGGTGCCACATCACTACATCAGTGCCATGTTTGGAAATCGGTTTTTCAGATAATTGATGTTTGGCTATACTTTTTTTTTTGAAAAATGTTTTTTCATACCATGCATTGCAAATTGGAAATCGGGAAAGGTATAGTATGAGAAAATATCTTTTTTGATGTTTTATTGTTCTTTTTACTGTTGATAGCAATAGTATGATGATGTGATATTAAAAAACAATGTTTTCAAAATTGGATTAGAAAAATCGGGAATCGATCACTTGATAGGTTCCGTTTCTGCCCAGAATCACTTTTTAGAAAAAAAACCATTGATTTGGTCAGTAAACCGCTGACCTAGGTGGTTGAACCATCAACCTAAACAATGTTTTTTGACCATTTTTACTTTTTTTATTATTTTTTATTTTTTTATCAGAACGAATTATCTTTTTGGTTCGAATGGTCAAGCCGTTTGACTCAAAAACCAGACCCCGGAATTATTCTCATTGTGGTTCGATTTTAAAAACCTTGTTAAAAATGCCTATATATATATATATTTTGTTCTTTTGAGAAAACGACATATCAATGTGACATCGTTTTCTAAAAAAACACCTTCCAAAAAGCAGCATTGGTGTAATACATTTCAACACACTTCCAACATGATCTTTCCTTTTCTGTTTTTTGATAGATTAAAGGTAAATTATATTAAGCAACATCAGAAGAGAGGTTCAGCTAGCTAGGAATGCTTTCACAGTAACAAAAGAATTCAGCGTATTTTGCCTTATGAGCCACTAGATGAGCAGCAAGGGTTTTTTCTCTAGTCTAAATAAAATATTCCTAGACTCTAGTCAAAAGAACTCCATATTTCCTCATAGCACATCCACCAACCCTTTGCAATATGTGTAGACTGTGATACTAGTCCATCCATTTTTCATCTCAAACAAAAGGCTTTGAAGAAATGCTTCACATTTCGTATCTTATTCGTGAATTTGGCATCTGGGCAAGATTCAGTTTATTCGTAGAAATTTTAGTTCCACTCTAGAGATGGATTGAACTATAAAACCTCTTAATTTTATTACTAATAGCATATAAAAATTCAAAGTTTGCATCCAAAACTACTATTTCAGATGAGGCTTGGTTATTTTTTGTAAATCCACCGTCACAGATTGGATAACGTTGTACGAGAATTGAGGGATTATTTTTTGGAGTCTGGCTCTCTTGCCTATAAGAACTCTGCCCACAACTACCCATATAATATTGCAGTCACATAAGGGGAACATCTCATCCTCTTACATAGAATTATATATGAGAAATGTTCTCAATTCACGGGAGTAGTGTGCTGTGGATAGATATGGGCAGAGTTCTTGTGTGTAGGAGGTCCGATATCAGGTTAGAGATCAAATTAGCCCCCTACAATGTCCCAAAGTACATCTCCACTGTGTATTAGAAAATGTTCCCAATATATGACAGGAATGTAATGGAGACGTTTAACACACTACTCCGTTGAAATAGGTTTTGTTGGGAGCAAATCCCAACCTGCCAATAGCCTAGACTGTTAGGAATGTTTTTGGGGACACGTTACCATAATTGTAGGGTAAAAGGGTAATTATACTCCCTTTTCTTTTGATAAAAAGACAAGGGATACGGACCGGTCCCAACTGTTACTGTAACAGTTATACATCTAGAACATCTCACTGGAAGATATTCTCAATGCACGAATGCAACAGCTGTTGGGCCCACTTTGTAGGGACCCTGTGTTGGAGTTAGATCCGAACTCAATGGGTTAATGTGTCATGGCCAACAGCGAGAGATTTCTCTATCAACCTTATACGCAGGCTCTACTGATGGCAAGAGTTTGGCAATAGCTTATTCTGAACGCATGTAAGACGTGTGATGCTGTTTCAGGCGGCATATCTCATTTTGCCGTGTAGGATATTCACCATTACACCATACCATGACAACTTGTCAAAGTAATATGGTACGTAAATTTCAACTCTTAACTCACTTTTATATTATTTTGAACCTTGGCTCACATTTTGCATAACTAAAATATATGTTTCTTATTTGTTTATACGTTATGTTTTAAGCCTTGTATTTAGCATTGCTAATGTAATTTTGGGATTTATATAAACTCCGGTAGTTTACCCAAGTGTATCTCCACCTTTTTTTCCTTTGCATCATGATGTTTCTTAAATTTGTCTTTTATCATATTTATACTTTGAACGTTGGACTCGTTATATAAGTTTTGAATCATTTCAGTTGTTTTTTAATATGATTTAAGAGATTAAATGGGGTCTGATTTGCAATTAAGGAAACGATGCAAATAAATGTGAATGTAAATATGTAGTGTGAAACGGTTCATTTAAATTGTAAAATTGGGTTAATTTTACACTGACAAATTTATCTTTTTACCAAATAGACTTTTAGTTGTAACGGATGCAAACATGAATTCCAATAAAACATATGTTTTTTTTCTTTTTTCTTTTTATCAAAAGCCCACTTAAATGCAAATTTACTTTTTTTTTATTGATGTAATTTTGCATCTTATTATCAATGTAAATATGCATTGGTCAATCATTTGTCAACGCATAAATGTAGTATTGCCAAGCACAAGAAAAAGTGAACTAGAATAAAAATTTACCCTGAATCGGGATTTATACTCCATTTGCATCATTTCCAAATGCAGTCTAAAGCTCACCTTGGAAAGAATACATGTACAGTATAAATAAATACAAAATCCAAGGTTTTGCACTCTACATATTTGTATTTGTGTTTTTTCATCTGAAGGAGTACAGATACAAATGTATAAAGTGCATAACCTTATATTTTGTATGCATTTGCACTTTATATTATTTATACTCTTCCCAAATTGAGCATAATACAAATACATACAAAATAATATAAAATACAAGGTTTTGCACTCTACATATTTGTATTTGTATTCCTTCCAAATGGAGTCTAAGCTCAATTTGAAAAGAGTACACGTACAAATATATACAGTACAAAAACATATATTTAATATTTTTAAACCTTATTTTGCATTGTACATATTTGTATTTGTACTTCAGTTTGGGAAGAGTACAAATACAAATATGTACAGTGCAAATACATACAAAACAATATAAAATACTAGGTTTTGTACTCTACATATTTGTATTTGTACTCCTTGGCTTAAATAACACACTTTGCCTAGAATAATGGAACCTGTAATGATGCAATGTCCTGCAAGCTTATCTAACAAGCTTTTTATTTGAGTTAGGAAACTAGATTAAATTTAATTTGATTAAATAATATGAGCTAAATTTTCTAGTTTGAATTTCGAAACATGACCGGAGTTAAAAGTCAAATCAGCTTAGTGGTGTAAATCGGGCCATGCCGCCCATGGTCCAACACGATGGAACACGGGCCATGTCAGGCCTGGGGTTTCAGGTCCATGGGCTGGCACGACATGGCATGATAGTGTGTATCATGCCGCCCGCAGCCCACGTGCCAGCACAATCCATA